CTGGGTGAGTATCCCTGAAGCTGTGGTCTCAGGCCTTTCTTGGCCAGAGCAAAGCAGCCCATAGCACATGTGCTGAGGGTGGTGCTGCCCTCTGCGTGGGGCCCATGTGGGCTCTGTCCCTGCCCAGCCTGGCTAGCGTGGGCTGGACTATTAGACACTGTCAAGGTCGCTGCTGAGGGATAGTGAGCCTCTCTGGCAGGCTGGCAGAGGGAGGTCCCAGCAGATACACAGTACACTAGGAGAACCTGACCAGTGGAATGGACAGAAGACACTGGCGGCCTTTGGATTGAGGCTCTGAGCAGGTCTGGCATTGTTTGCTCTGGTCCCCAGCCAAGGGGCTGTCAGGGACCCACCGTGACCCACCGCCACCGTGGTGCTTCCTGGAGAGCTGCTGCCTGTGTGGACCTCTGCAGAAAAGAGCCTTGGTGGGCAGGGAGGAGAAAGGACAGACTCGACTGGGGCCTGGCCATGGTCGTCACTCAGCTCAGCCTTGAGTTCCGCTTTCAGGGCAAGAAGCTTCGAGGCTTCAGCTGTGAACTCACCCGCTCCCCTCATGGAGTCCTCCCTGAGTCCGTCCTCACCACCACATGTCAGGTGGCCATACCCATACTGTTGTCGGGCCTGGGCATGATGACGGCTGGCTTGGTGATGAACACTGTCCAAGTACGTACTGGGCTTCAGGGGAGAAGGGGCAGATAGGGTGGAGGGAAGGAGCCAGGAGACTCCCAGTGGGTGGCAGCCCTGAGCTGGGTCTGATGTCAGCAGGTGCTGGTAGGAAGGCTTCCAGCATCTTAAGAGTCACAGTGATGACATTTGAAAGCTCTCAAAAGCAGCCTGTGTGAGCCCACAACAGCTTCTCCTTATTGGGCAAGGCTTCTACTCAGTGCAGGAGTCTTTAATGTCTCTGCCTCAGTTTCCCCTTTTGTAAATCAGAAATAATGACAGTGTCCGCATCTCTGAGTTGTGAGAATGTGCATTCCTGCTGGTGTCTGGTCTGGGTGATGGACAGAGCTGGATGACAGACCCACCTTTCTGGAGCCCCCATGGAGCTTGTGGGGGGATGAGAAAGATACGGAGCTGGCATGGGAGTTCCGTATACCCCCAGATGTCCCCGGCAAGGGTGGCAGTCTTCATCTGGCAGGGTATTTGCTGAGGGAGACTTCCTCTCCCAGCATTTGCAGGTGCCCTGAGCCTGGTTTAGGAGACACTGTATTGTTGAGTGATTTCCACTGTTTTTTTAACCACAGCATTTGTTGCGGAGCTTAAGGGTTGCTTTAGAAAAACTAGACAAACTCAGTTGTGGAGGAAGGACACCCATCAGGCATTGCCATGGTCCTGGAAGCTGAAAGTCTGAGACGAAGTTGTTGGCCGAGTTGGTGTGATAATCCAGGAAGACCCTCTCCATGTGTCTCACACATGTGTGTGGTGGGGTGCTGAGGGTAGAACTGTGCTAGCCATGTACCATAGCACTGGGCTCCGCCTCAGCCCCAGTGCTGTTGCTGTTTAATCTTCAAAATTACATTCAATTCTCAACCCACATGTGTGTCCCAGGTAGTTCCCCATTCCTACATGTACCCAGCATTTCCTCTATGATGGATACACAGTGTCTCCTTGTGTACTTGTGTCCAACTGCCTGAAGTTGGAGGGGGTGTCAGTAATTCCAGGACACCTGGTCTCTGCTTGTTCACCTCAGTCTGTTCCTAGAGGATCTGTGCAACCTCCTTCCATGATGTTCTCTGCCCCTATCTGAGGCAGCTATGCTAATCCCCAGAGAATGGGCTTTTCCAGACTGCACAGCATGAGGTCATCCGTTCCTCAGCTTTCCCATATGCTCACACCCCATCTCAATGCTTCAGTTGCTGTAGGCTCCCAGAAGGCTTGCTTGTCAATCAGTCTGGACTAGGCAGCGGCTGGAGGTGGTGAGCAACCTGGGTGAAGGAGAGATAGCTCCTTCCTCCTGCAGGTCAGGGATCTTGAGAGGGAACAAGAGGGGACCATTTGTGTGGGCCTTGGAGGACAATGTGGCCATTTCCATATTGGATACTGTGGGAAGAAGTGAACTCCAGGCAGAGAGCTGGGTGAGGTCTGTAGATGTGTAGGAGTGTGCATTTGTGAAGAGAGGGACAGAAGTTGGCTAGCTGTGAGAGACTCTGTCCGATCTGCCCAAGAGCTGGAATGCCAAAGGGGCTTGGCATTCTGTTAAATGAGTGTTGCCTTTGTGTTGCTGGCATATGGCAGCCTAGTCATGTATAAACTGTCAGGTTCGTACTGCATGGCGAAATACAGGCGGGGACACCAGCCCAACTACTGCTGCCCAGCAGGCTCTCCTCTGACAGTATTTGGCTATGCATGAAATGTGATGCTGCCAGCCACATTCTTGAACAAGTTTAAAGATCCAAGTTGGGTGTATACTCAGGAGTGGAGTTGTCAGTGCAGGGTCAGAAGTGACTGGGTGATGTGATTATATTTATGTCACAAATCTCAATCCTGGCAGCAATGTCAACAGTGTGGGGGAGGAGAAAGTAAGGGAGGCTCTCTCCCAGGACTATAGGCTACCACTGCTGATAAAACTCTCCCCCTACACACACCTCTACCCTACCTCCTACATCAGGAACAGATATCTTTAAAGTGTTGTTTGAGATGCCAGTAGCAGTATTTAAAACTTAGGATGACTTAGTCAGATTGGAGAGGATAAGGGGTTAAATCCTGGTGGGTGGGAGAGGGGACAGGCACAGGAGAGGCAGGGGTCTGCAAATGGTGAGTTGAGGCTCCAGTGTGGCCAGCTTGCAGCCACAAGGTGGATGAGATGCTGGGGATATTGATGAGCCAAAGTGGCTGTGGCACAGAGGGTATGCAAAAGAAGCCTGGAGAAAGTGCCATTCTGGAGCCCAGTGATCAGTGACATTGCCATTATTTCTTGTTATCTGACTTAGTCTGTCTAGGGTGCTGTAGGGCAGCAGAGGCCAGGTGATGTGCCCCACAGAAGTGGACCTTGTTGTGGCTCTGGGGGTTAGAAAGTGCCATGTTTTCCTGTGCCCACACGATCACCCCTCTCTGCCCATCTTGACCTAATCTCTGTCTATGAGATATCAGTCTTGTAGGATTGGGGCTCACCCACCCATGATCTTAATCCAGTCTCTCTTTGGGGACCCTGTCTCTAAACATTTGTACCTGGAGGCCCTGAGAGTTAGGGCTGCAGTCTATCAATTTGGGGGGTAGGGACACAGTTTAGCTAGTCTCTGTTGACATTGTCCTAGCCTGTCTCCGCTCTTGTCCAGTGTTTCCTGGCAAGATCAGTCATGGGGCAGCAGACAGAGCTAGAAAAGCCCATTCACACATGGCAGGTCACTGAGGCTTCAGGAAGACAATGCCATGGCCAGCCTGCACTGAGCTGTGACATATCACAGGGAGGGTGAAACTTGGTCAGGGGTTCCTGGCACTGAGGGGGGGAAGAGTGTAAGGAAGACGGGCTTGTTCTGATGCAGGCTTGGTCAGTGTGTTAGCTCTCCTTGTGTATGGCAGGGAGACGGTGGGGGAGGCAGAGGATGGTGGGGGAGGGCTGGAGCAGGGAACACGGAAATGAAAAGGACATGTGTGACAGACCACCCTGGTCAGGAGTAGGTGTATGTGTGCAGCGGCGTGTGTGGTGTGTGCCTGAGGGGTGTGCAGAGCTGATAGGTGGCTGCTTGCAGGCCTGAGGCCCCTGTTGTAGCATCAGGGAGGCAGTAACTGAACCGATAAGGAGGGCCCTGCAGGTGGGCCTCTGCCTCCAACATAGTCCTTCATATGAGAGCAGAAAAAGCTTGTTATTTCTTTAAAGGCTAATGTCATTATCACAAAGGACCTGAACAAATGGGTACATTTGGTCAAATGCAAAAACATTTTCTAGAGGGAATAAAGATTATTAACATGGTAAAATGTTCAGACTTGGTACTAAAAAGCTATGCACATAGAGACCACATTTTGCTCCTACACATCCAAGTAACACAGGGATAAGACTCAAATGTAGAACCTCTGACTAGTCCTATCCCTCCTTCCTCCAAGAGTACTGCTGCCTGTGGTGACTCCTGCTCCCCCCAAAGGCGATGTGTTTGTGCACCTTTAGCTGCTCTTTACCTGCAGAAACAGAGGAATATATCTTCAGCCCTAGAACATGGAGCCCTACAACCTTAAGATCTTACTCCATTAAGATCATACTGTGGGTATTTGGGAGGGTCAGATAGATCTGTGGGTATTTGGGGTGGCTGTTTCTGTCACCACAGGTACCTCCTCTCTTTCCCTGCTTTATTGAAACATCCCTGCTATTCTGCCTTTTCAGTTTTTATGTTTTTAAGTTTGAAGGAGATGCCTGGTCTCCATCAAATGGGCTTTTCTGTTTTGGAAGGCACAGGGCCCAGCAGTGTGCTGGGTGATGACTGAGAGCCCTGGTCTATGAGCTAGTTTTGCAGAGTGTTTCCATGCCTCTCAAATTCAGAGAAATAACTGTGTGTCTGAATTGGCGACACATTCCAATTTCTACAAAACTGTTGTTGCACACATAATCCCCATGTCATAGTAAATAGCACATTTTCAGGCTGGGCCAGGCTGGACCTCTGGCCTCCACTTTCCTGGCCTCTGAGGGTGCGAGGCAGGAGGGAGCTTGCTGGAGGCCACTGCTGGTGATTTGATTAATGGTATTTAAAATGTCTTCTTTAGTGTTTCATTTAAAACCATTTAGGCTGGGCATGGGATGGCACACATAATTCCAGCATTCAGGAGGCAGAGGCAGGTGGATCTCTGTGAGTTCAAAGTAGCCTAGTCTACATATAGAATTCCAGCACACCCAGGGCTATGTAGACATGCCCTGTCTAAAAAAACAAAGGTAAAGTAAAAGCATTTAGGACAATGCTGAGTCTCACAGGTTTATTCACAGGGGCAAGGTCATTGATAGAGGTTATCCGTGGACATCTGCATAGTTGTGCCAGCAGTTTGGCCTCATTTCCTTATTCTTTCTCTTCCAGCACTGGTCAGTGTTCCGGGAGGTTAAAGACTTGCTGACATTGGTGCCACCCCTGGTGGGTCTGAAGGGAAACCTGGAGATGACACTGGCCTCTCGACTCTCTACATCTGTAAGTGGCAGCCAGATGTCTTGGGTTACCAGCAGCATGGGAACAGGATGTTCCCTTCATTTGGCCTCTCTCCATGTTGGTGTGGCTGGAGGCCCTGGTCCCCACCCACACAGGTGTTACTCTGCTTTGGCTGTTCTGGCCTCTCCTCCCTGCTTCTGTACTGTTTTCCATGGCTACCCTGAGCTGTCGAGGGACCAGCACGGTGCCTTAGAGCCTCAGTGTCGGCTGACTTTCTGTGTCCCTGTTCCCCAGAGTCTGCATGCTGCTGCTTGAACCCTAGGCCACACCCCGTCACACATATACCTGCAAGCTTCAGTAGGCAGTACAGGCTCAAGGGAGGATTCTGGGGTGGGAACAAAGAAGGGGGCTCAGCTGCCCATTAACTACCTCTGTTCATGAGACACCTCCTGTCTCCTGTTATTATGGCTCTTTAGCCAACAAAGGCCCTCTCCCAGCCAGCTCTTTCTTATCCCAGGCGTCTGGGATGGTTCTCTTTCCCTCCTGTTAATACAGAAGGTTTTCCCCTCTCTCCAATGGCATCCGGCATGTGAAAAGGGTGGTATCCAGAGGAAATATATTATGTTCAAGGGTCTGAGAAAAATGTCTCAAAGCTGATGAAGAAGGGCCAGGAATGAAGCCTCAGTGTCTGTTGTTCACTGTGGGATGTTAGCAACTCCAACTATATTTATATATAGTGCTGTTTCTCCACAAAAGAGGCCAGAGGAGCTAAAGAGATGGCTTGGTACTTTTTCATAGGACCCGGGTTTGATTCCTGGCACCCACAGGGAAACTCATAACCATTTGTAACTCAAGTCCCAGGGGATCTGATACCCTCTTCTGGCCTTCACAGGTACTATGCATACATCACACACAGACACAATGGGGAAAGCAGCCATAGAGAGAAAATTAAAATAACCTGGGGAGGGAAAAGAAAAGAGTCCAGGTCAGTTCATAAAAGGCAGGTGTAGTGCATCAGGAGAGCCGATTCAGCAGTTAAAAGAGCTCACTGTTCTTGAAGATGACCCAGGTTTGGTTCCCAGCATCCATATTGGGTAGCTCACAACTGCCTGTAACTCTAACTCCAGGGACTCTGACACCCTCTTTTGGACTCCTCAGGCACCTGCACTCACATGTGCACATGCTCTCACACAGATACACATACATATAATTAAAAAGTATAAATACATATAATTAAAACGGCAGGTAACTGTCTATAAAGCTAAATGGCATAGTCTGTTGTATGTTCTAATTTGTTTCCTGAGAGAGAGGGCTGGCTATGCCAGAAGGACTAGCTTCTCCATCCCTGTCGACTGACACTGCCTTTATCTCTGTATGCTAGGCCAACACTGGGCAAATCGATGACCGCAGGGAGAGGTACAAAATCATCAGCAGCAACCTTGCTGTGGTTCAGGTGAGTGTTGGAGTATCCGCATCCATCAATGCCTCACCTTCTCCCTCCCTTGTGGGTCTGCAGCCTGCCTCTTTCTGGGTAGGAAGGGGGACCATGTGAGCCTTGCCCCTGTACTCTGGACTGAACTTTGAGGACAGTTGTCTATGTGTCCATCCATCTGTCCAGTAGGCCACATCTGTGGCATGGGGAAGATCATCACAGGCAACCACCGCACCTGCCGGAGATGCCTTCAGATCTCTGGTCCCTGAAGCTTCTCCAACACCCAGCTTCTAAGCCACATCCTTGGGGGTCTGATGTACTCAGCATTTGCCATGCCCTGCATTTGCTAGTGGCTTTCTTCCCACATTTAGACCAACACCGTGTTTCCCTGGGTCACTGGTGTTCCTGGGATGGACACACCCTAAGTTCTTGTTCTTCCAGCAACTTTATTTATTTCTGGGACCTGATGGATCCTTCCTGCCTGCCTGGAAATTCCCCTTATAAGCCTTGCTCTTCCATCCCAACCTTTCCTATCCCAGTCTTTGCAAGAGGCCTTCATGCTGCTCTCACACTGTGTCTCCTTCTGCCAGGCCCTCTGAGAGCTCAGTTCTATCTAGGCCCCTTTCGCAGTAAACTGAAGCCAGGGTACCCAGGCAGGAACAGATGAGGGCAGGAAAGGTTCAGGCAAGAAGGAAGGCTGGACCTAGAGCTTGCTCTGTGGGGGCTGTGGTCCAGGCTCTCTAAGCTTCGCTGGGTAGAGGCAGCCCCTGGTAGCACAAGGAATGTGGACTGAGGTCAGATTCTCGTCACCTGTCAGCTGGGCAGCTCTGGCCAGGGCTGTGTCCTTGTCTACTAGTGACACCTATTCTTCCTGTCATCCAGGTCAGTCAGAACCCCGCCTCTCCCAGAGGCATCTTCCAGACAGCAAGCTAGAACTAGCCTCATCGTCCCCTCCCTGAACTCAGCTTTGCTGAAGGCAACAGCCCTGAAGGCAATGTGGTGGAGGAATGCTGCCTATGCACCCCTTCTGCCTTAGGGTTAAAGTCTTCCATGATAAAGACCAAAAGTAACTTGAGGAAGAAAGGGTTTCTTTCATCTTACAGTTGATAGTCCATCACTGAGGGACGTCAGGACATAAAGTCAAGGCAGGAACCTGGAGGCAGGAGCTGAAGTAAAGATCATGGAAGAGTGCTACTTATTGGCTTGCCCAGCCTGATTTCTCATCCACCTTCCCGGGAGTGGCACCACCCACAATGGGCTGGGCCCTCCCACATTAATCATTAATGAAGAAAATCCCCCACAGACTTGCCTACAGGACATTCTGAAGGAGGAGGCATTTTCTCAGCTGAAGGTACTGCCTTAGTCACTGTGCTATTGCTGTGAAAAGTCACCATGACCAAGGCTACTCTTATAAAAGAAAGCATTTAATTGGGGACTTGCACCCTCTCCTGCTCAGGTATGTACTGCCTTCAGCCCTCTGCCTTTTGGGTGCAGTGGATGTGCTGCCCACCCTACAACAGGGAGCATGGCAGCACACCGGAAGATATGGTGCTGGAGAAGGAGCTGAGCCACATCTTGACCCTTAGGTAGAGAGAGACCTGGCATGGGCCTTTGCAACCTCAAAGCCCAGTGGCACACTTCCTCCAACAAGGCCACGCCTCCTAATCCTTCTAATCCTATCAAAGAGTTACATTTCCTGGTGACTAAGCATTTAAATCTATGAGGCTGCTGGGCCAGATCTTATTCAAACCACCACAGTTTCTTTGCCATTGACTTTAGTTTGTGTCAAGTCAGGCCCTAGCCCTCAGCTGCTCTGTTTTGCTTCCTGGCTGTGAGGAACAGTGGTACTCCATGATGCTCCCTGATGCTGTTTTGCCAAAGGTCCAGAGCAATGGGGTCAACACACCATAGACTGATCCCTCTAAAACTGTGAGCCAAAGCAAACCTCCTCTCGCTAAGATGCTTGTCTCAAGGAGTCTGTCACAGCTGATGCAAAGCTAACAGCCATTGGGCCATTCCATTCACCAGTGAGGACTGGACTGTCCATCCCACTTGAGCAGGCTGGAAACAAAGGTACCCTCTTCCATCCTCTTCCCCTAAGTCTCACATGCTGTCTCTGTGAAGACTTCCTCTGAGTTGCATTTGAATTGAGCCCTGCTTCTTCTCCTCCCCTGCCGATGCCTGTCAACCTGTACCCCTTGCAACTGCTTTTGTCTGTGTGGAAAGCCAGTGGATGCCTCCTCCTCTTGGTTCTGCAATTCCTCCCTCACCAGCCCCAGGCCTAGCTGGCTGGTTCCTTCTTGCTGCCTTTCCACATGCAGTTGTCTGTCCTTGGAACATCTCTCCTCTGTGCCTGCTGTTCTGAAGCTCATTGGACACTCACTCTAGTCCAAGCTCCATGTTACCCCCAGGCAGGTGCCACCCTTCAGTCCTCTTCGCGCGCGCACGCGTGCGTGCGTGCGTGCGTGTGTGTGTGTGTGTGTGTATGTGTGTGTGTGTGTGTGAGAGAGAGAGAGAGAGAGAGAGAGAGAGAGACCTCTCTTGCCTTCTTGCCTGGGCTGAGTCTTATGGGCCAGAACCAAGCCTGTAGCTGAGTAGCTGAGAAATTAAAGCAGCATTCAGATCCATAACAGAGGTCAGGTGAGGGGGGTCACAAATGCCCAGCACTGGGCATGTGGCTCAGGCCTTTCTAGAACCTTCTGCACAGAAAGTGGAAGGCCTGGCTAGACTTACATTGTAGTTGGAATTTTCTTTGGGCTGCCAGCTCACAAATAATGACATGAGACTTCTTATTGTGAAGGCTCAGCCTATAGCGTAGCTTTGTTCCTAACTCGCTCTTATAACTTAAATTAACCCATTTCTGTTAATCTCTCTTCCATCTTGTACCTCCTCTTTCCTCTCTCTGTCTCCTCGCATCTCCCACATGCCTAGATTCCTCCTCCTCTTCCTTTCTCTCCCTGGAAATCCCACTATACCTTCTGCCTAGCTTACACCAATCACAGCAACACACATTCACACAGTGTACAAATATCCCACAGCATTACATGCCTCAAATGCAGCTGACATATGATTTGCTTCCTCCATTTTAAAAGGGCTTACCTTTGAGTCACAAGTCAATCAGGTAAATTTCTAGGTTGGACTTTAAAACAAACAAACAAAAAAACCAATTTCTTCAACATGTCACTTAAGTGTGGAACCAAGGGTGAAATTTTAAAATAATTTTTAGAAGTATTTGACACTTTCTCTCATGTGTTCTGTGTACCTTGATCATATCCACCAGGCCTTCCTGAACAGCACCCACACATCTGTTCCCGTCTTGATCTCCCCCTCTTGGGGTAGCCCACTGAGTCCAGCTGGTGCTGCCCGCTGGCATACTGACGGACTCAGTTGGCCTGACCCTGGCCCGGTGGCCATAGCTACATTGAGCTTGTGAGTGCGATGCCATGTCATGCCAGAAGGTGGCAGTTCGCAGCACTTGTCAGGCCCTGCTGTTCTGTTGTTTCTGCCACCTTTTCTGTGATGTTCCCTGAGCCCTGGGGAGGCTGATGTTGATGTCTTGGATAGGGTTGAACACCAAACAGTCATTTATTCTCAGCATGAATTTTTTAATTTTAAATTTTATGTACACAGGTATTTTAGCTGCATGTATGTGTGTGTGCTATGTGTATGTCTAGTACCCACAGAAGCCACAAGAGGGTATCAGATCCCCTGGGACATATCTCTAGGAAAGATGCCAGGTCCCCAGCCCATCTCCAGCTCCCTGGTTCTAGTTCTTACCACCATCAGTGAAAAGGACCTGTCACTGTGTGAGGCTGTTTTCCATTACCATGACAGAGTGCCTGAGACAGTCCGCTTGTGTGGAGGGAAGGTGTGTCTTGGTTCACTGTGTCCTTGATTCCTGTGTCTGTTGGGCTCATGGTCATGCATGATAGAGCAAAACTATCTCATGATGTAAGCTAAGGCCCCACAGTCCCCTTGTGGGCATTCTTCCACTAAGATCACTCAGGAAGCTGCCTCTTAATGGTCCACACACCTTCCTGTAGCTGAAGACCAGACTTCAAGCGTGGACCTCTGAGAACATTCTGAATTTAAGCTAACAGTGCAAGCCTGAAGGATAATGAACAGGCCACCAGATATTCACCCATTCGACTAATTGTATGTGAGCTATACCAGGTGCTGGTCCATATCCTTATTGCTAGACACTGAGAGGAATGCCAGCATCCAGTGACATGCTTCATATCATAATCTACTTAGAATCTTCCTGAAAACTAGGGAAGTCAATCATTTTCTCCATGACTCCATGACATTTTTTATCGTGTAGGAGTCATATATAAATTTTATGTATGATATACTATATATAGATGCTTTTTTCAGCAATGACAGTTGAACTACATGGACCTAAGTGAGAGCTCTACTACACAGCTGTATCCCTGCCTGCTTTTACTTATTTGCCTTATGTTTTGACACATGGGCTTGCTAAGTTGCCCAGGCTGGCTTTGAACTCACTCTGTGGCCCAGGCGGGCTTTGGCCTGTGACCTTACCTCAGCCTCCAGAGTAGCAAGTATTGTAGGCATGTGTTATCATGTCCCACTTAGTATTTTTCTTTATGGATTTTATGCTGTATCTTTAAAAGAAGGCCTTTGCTGGTCAGAGATATTTTTAAACACTTATTTGGTTTCTGCTAGGTCCCCATGTATGATCGCTCAACTGATCCTCCTGCCATGGCTCTAATCGTGGGAAGGGCATGCACAAGCCACGCTAGGCTGCAGAACTCTTAAACAGACTACCATATATCCCTTTATTTCACACCTTGGGGTTTAGTGTTTAAGGGCATGAAGCGGGGTGGGGGAGTCCACCTTTCTCCTGGTCATAGTGACTCGGTTTCCCCTGCCCTGGTTATTTAATATTCATCTGCTGAAGTCAGGCATCCAGGATATCCCCTCTATGCCCACTCCTCTCCCCATCGCTGCCCTCTTTGCCCCTCTTCGGCCCCTCTTTGCTTACAGAGCACTTTCCTGTGTTCTCTTTCTGGGTTCCCTTCCATCCCATGGCTCTGTATGTCTCTTTCTGGGTTCCCTTTCATCCTGTGCCTCTGTATGTCTCTTTCGGGCAGTGCTGCACTGTCTTTATCTCTCCAGCTTATGGTCCAATTTGATTCATACTTTACAATGTATCTGACATATACCAGCAATTCCCCTGGACCTCTGTCCACTACACTGTCTTGGCTCTTGTACATGTGTTTACTCATCTCTGTGAGTGAGTGAGTCATCAGGCACCATAGGAAATCTTGTGTGGGCTCTGCTTGGGATGACATTGGTGATGGGGACTCTGATTGGGATGACATTGGTGATGGGGACTCTGGTTGGGATGACATTGGTGATGAGGGCTATGGTTGCAATGACATTGGTGATGAGGGCTCTGGTTGGGATGACATTGGTGATGAGGGCTCTGGTTGGGATGACATTGGTGATGGGGACTCTGGTTGGGATGACATTGGTGATGAGGGCTCTGGTTGGGATGACATTGGTGATGGGGACTCTGGTTGGGATGACATTGGTGATGGGGCTCTGGTTGGGATGACATTGGTGATGAGGGCTCTGGTTGGGATGACATTGGTGATAGGGACTGTGGTTGCGATGACATTGGTGATGGGGCTCTGGTTGGAATGACATTGGTGATGGGGACTCTGGTTGGGATCACATTGGTTAACTTGGGGTTCTTGTGTGCTCACTGCACAAGCTTCAAACTTGAGATCCATCTCCAGAATTGGTGCAAAAAGCTGAGTGTGGTGCTGTGCTCTTGAAGTCTCAGCTCTGAGGAGGCAGAGACAGGAAGATCCCCAGGCTTTCTGGCCAGCCAGCTTCAGATGAAAACAGCCCTAGGTCCTTGTCCCAAAAAGTAAGGTGTGGGGGCCACAAGATGACTCAGCTGGTCAGGGCACTTGTTGCCAAACCTGATGACCTGCATTCAATCCCTGGTACCCAACTCCTAAAACCAACTCCTACAAGTTATCCTATGACCTCCATATATATATGTGTGTGTGTGTGTGTGTGTGTGTGTGTGTGTGTGTGTGTGTGTGTGTGCTCCTCACCTGCCATAGGCAAAATACGTACATACATACATACATACATACATACATACATACACACATACATGAAAACCTCAAATAGGGGCCTGTGAGATGGCTTAGCAGCCCAGCCCGAGGATCTGAGTTTGGTCCCAGATGCCCACGTATAGAAGTTGTCCTGTCTCTTCCACATGTGCCCTCAACATCTCTCACAAAAACAAGTAAAAAATATGAAGTGGATAGCTACTGAAGAACAATACCCAGGAACTTCATCCTCCCACAAATATGCACATGCACACACACACATACACACGCTTTCCCGCTTTTATTGCCCATAGGCATTACAAGGCTCTGCATGTGTCCCTTCATCCTTTGGTAATGGGCAACATTGCATATAGACATTTTGAATTAGGGGTCCTGATACCAGCTCAGACCTAGGCTGTAGGTGGTGAGGGACTTAGTGGTCCAGAGCCTCATGCAGAGATGTGGCTGTAATGCGAATGTGAGCTGGGGACAGGACAGTTGGGGTGTGAGGCAGGCATATGTGATATTGCTGTGGGCCTGAGTCAGTGCTACTCTCTGGGTTATAGAGTATACACCCAGGCCAGCGGTCATGGAGTTCTGAGCCAGAGGCAGGTGTTCCTCTAAGACCCAGTTCTTCACTTGCAGGTAGCATCTCACAAGGGACAGAGGTAGACAGGGCAGCTCTCCATGGAGTCATCTTGGAGGGAAGTGCTGAGGAGGACTGCCAGCATGGCCCAGGGGAAAGAGTATAAAAGGTCACCATGAGGGCCTTGTTTGATCCTTGAGGCCACCAGGAGTCAGAAGGACAGGGAGGGTGGCGGTGGTCAGGGAGCCTTCTCATGAGTCTGATTTCTGTCTTGGCAGGTGCAGGCCACTGTTGTGGGGCTCCTGGCTGCACTGGCCTCCCTGCTACTGGGTGCAGTGTCCCACGAGGAGTTGGATTGGGCTAAGGTAGCATTGCTGTGCACAAGCAGCATCATCACTGCCTTTCTTGCCGCCTTGGCCCTAGGTGAGCCATGTGCCATGTATCTATCCCCAGGTCTCAGGCCTGCGTTCTCTGCAGTTCTGTCAAGGTTCCAGGACAGCTGAGCCGTGAGGCTGCTGTAGTGTTCGTGTGGAACTTCAGGGGTCTGCAAGTGGGTGGGAAGAGCTTGCTAGGTCCTCAGTCTGCCCTGTGTCCTTTCAAAGGGGTGCATGCATGTGTGTATGGAGAGAAGGTGCGTATGCCTGAGGGAGCTGTTGTCCCTTCCCTCAGCCTTGACAGAATTCAGTTTATCACTCCTTGCTGAGATCACGTACCTGAGCACGACAGCTTTCTTCATCTAGTGTGTTGGCTTCTAAATGTGTCAAGAGTGTGGCTACATAATGGATTTTAATAAGCATTCCCAACCACTGGTGGTCTTTAGGGGGCTTCAGTGGGACCAGCACCACCCATTGACTCAGCTGTGTAAATTCAGGTATACTTGGAGCTGGAGCTTAGAAGGAAGAAGATGCAGGGGCTGGTTTGGTCACACAAAGGGCACAATGTGGCAGGCGGTGACAGCATTAGGACAGCCTTGAGAGTGAATATAGACATATTATTTATTTATTTATTTATTTATTTATTTATTTATTTATTCTTGGTTTTTCAAGGCAGAGTTTCTCTGTATTGTTTTGGAACCTGTCCTGGAACTAGCTCTGTAGATCAGGCTGGCCTGGAACTCACAGAGATACGACTGCCTCTGCCTCCTGAGTGCTGGGATTAAAGGCATGTGCCACCAACGCCAGGCTGAATGTAGACATTTTTATTTTTAATTCCATTCATTTTGTGATGCTAGGGACCGAGCACAGGGCCTTGCTGTAATTATTTTTAGGGTCACAGGATTCTAAGCAGCATTAAATTCTAATACCCAAGATACAGAATGCTTTTAAGAACCCGGGGGAGCCTGCTGAAGTAGACTAAGCCCCAGCTAGTAACACGGAACTTACAAGACTACAGGGCAGGGGCCCTCAGACAGAACAGAGAGTCCTGGGGCTGAGTCCCCAGGGGCCTCTCTTATTTCCCACACAAGCCATGAAGCCCATCATTATCTGCAACAGGGCCACATGTTCTACCCTGGTGCCCAGGGATAGCATAGCTGGGCTCCTGAGATAGGGGACCCCCAGGGTATCTGATGTTGGCTGAGTCCTCCACAGCATCTCTACCTACCCTCCCTCCCCATCCTCCATTGGTGCTTGGAGCTTTGTCACATACCGGTTAATCAGAGGACCCAGCAGGTACCCGAGGCTTAGGTCGCCCTGCCGCTCAGGCTCCTGTTGCTGAGAACAACCTTGGAGCAGCTCTCCATGCAGCAGAGGCTGAGTACTGGTTTGAGAGGCAGGGGCCTGCTCAGGTGTGTCTTCAGGGTGTCCAGGCCACCCCTTGCCACCCTTACAGGTCCCAGCCAGTGACAGAAACTCAAGGAGGCAGGCAGCCTGCTGAGCATACAGACTTTGATAGATATAACTATTTACTGAGTTTTTCTGACCACCTTGACCCTTCAAGGGGCCTCTAAGCCATCTCACCACCAACTGCTCCCTGGGTTTCCTCTCTTTCTGCTGCAGGGATTCTAATGACCTGCATAGTGGTTGGTGCTCGGAAGTTCGGGGTCAACCCTGATAACATCGCCACACCCATCGCAGCCAGCCTGGGAGACCTCATCACACTATCCATCTTGGCCCTGATAAGCAGCTTCTTCTACAGGCACAGAGGTAGGGAGAGGCCTCTGCAGATCACTCCAGCCTGGGTGGGAACTAGAACATCATCCCCAAAGGAAGGAGCCAGGGTGCTATGGAACCCGAGCCTTCTCTGCATGAGGGTGGGGTAGGGTGGGAGATGGGAGGCCCCTGGAGCCTCTCAGCAAGTCCAGGGTGGCTGGAGAAACTGAGTGTGGAGTGGGATGAGCAGCTCAGGTCTACAGATGTGGAGCTGTCAATTTCCGCCCAGGGCCGCTCTGCTGATGGATGTGTCTATCCTTCAAGATGAGGCCAATGGAAAGTGGTGAGCATGTGGTGAGAGGTGTTGGAGGAAATGTCTGGCACAGCTCAGTGCCCTGTGGGAAGAAGGATTCTGTGGTTGAAGAAATAATTAGTGGATGCAGATAAAAACCACTCAGTGAGGCCTCCACTGTACTCAGGATACCTCTGTCCAGTCTGGACTGGGTCCTATTAGGTGACAGTGAGGGCAGAGTGAGTTTAAAACAAGATTTGCATAGGAGTTAGTTATTTACATTTGATTTGCAAAGCAAATCCCTCACTTCTCTGACTATGCTCAGAGAAACAGTGGGCATTGCCCCAGGAGACAGGTCTTCACTGACTGAGGAGTGACTTAGCTCACAGCTGCCAGCAGCAGTCAGGAGGATGCATGGGTGTGCAGTGGGAGCTGGATGGCTCCCTGTCAGATGTTACAGGAAACCTGGCTGCTCTCCCCAGTGTTTTGTAAGGAGATACTTTCCCAGGCCACTGTGTCCCTGAGTGTTAGTGACTTGTGGAGCACCTGTGGCAGAAAGGACCACAGTTGTGTGCTGTGGAGAATGAGGAGGGGCTGTTTGTTATGAGCGGTTTTCCTCGCCAGCCTGGTCCCACAGCCGCGCCAGTCCCAAATAACACACACTGTATTAGATATAAAGCTGTTACTAGTATTTCTTATTGGCTAGCGCTGTCTTAAATATTAACCCATTTTCTATTAATCTAAATATTTCCACGTTGTCTTATCCTACCGGAGAGAGGGCCCAGAATTCTTCTCTCTCAGTCCTACATTTTGAATCTCCTCCTCCCTCCTCCTGAATCCTCCTTCTCTCCTAGTCCCACCTATCTTGCTTTCCTATTGGCCAACAGTGCTTTATTCATTAACCAATATGAGAAACATATTTACAGAATGACATCTCCCGTCATCTCTTTTCTGTCTAAAATAATAAAAGGGTTTTAACCTTAACATAGTAAAACATATAACAAAACAGTTATCAAATAAGAACCACAGTTAACAATATTTAGTCCATTAACATTTAGCAAGATTTAAAGAAAATATTCTATCATCTATCCTATCTCAGCTGGTCCTAGCAACACCACCCAGAGAAAGAGAGTGGGCCACAGACCTTGTGTGGTCACCTAGCATTAGGGTTGCTCAGGAGGGTAGAAACAGGATGAAAAGATAATGCTAGAGGAAGTCAGTGTTGTGTGCACACGTGAGAAACGGAGTCAGAGAGTGAGGCTGGAAGGTAGCAGAGGTGAGTGCGCTTTGAGGACATCGGCCCTGGGGAAGCAGCACCCTGACCTCATAGCTGGAGGTGACTCTAAGGTATGAGTAGCTAGCAGGCCAGTGTGATCCATAACCCATGCTAATGCAGACTGTCTCAGCCAGGAGAGAGCTTCCTCCTGATTCTGTTCCTGCGGCTATGTGTCCTGGTAGCTGCCTCTTGGCTCTTCCGGGCTTTTCTGGCACCTCCAGGCAGGGCAACTGAGAACTGTCATATTCATGCAGGGCTGCCACCTGCTCAAACCCTGTCCTAATTCTATTACTATAACACTGGGTAGGAGCAGCCTGATCAAGGTTCTTGACTATTGCAGGACATCAGAGAAGTGGAGGGACGTGGCAGGACACAAAGAGCTTTCCTAGTTGCTTAACAGTTGCTCTCTGGCAAGTGTAGTAGGACAGCCCCTCTAAATGGCAAGTGCCTCAGTTCCAAACTTAACCCCTTGACTGTGAAAGGCCACACCCCAACCAGCACCTATGCGCCAGCCTTGGCATATGAACTCGGTATGTCTGCTTTCCCTCAGACATGTGGTATCTGACACCACTGGTCTGCATCGGCTTCATGGCTCTGACTCCTCTGTGGATCTTCATTGCCAAGCAGAACCCTCCCATCATGAGGATCCTGAAGTATGGGTGGTTCCCCATCATCCTGGCTATGGTCATCAGCAGGTGAGCAGTGTTCTGTGAGAGCAATGCCTGAGGGAAGCAACTTCAAGGAGGGAAGGTTTATTTGTCTCACTGTTTCAGAGGGTGCAATGGTCCCAGGAGCACATCACAGAGAAGTGCTTTTCACTTCAGAGGTGACCAGGACACAGGAAAAGGCCAGGCCAAGATTCACATCCCTAGTGACCTCCTTCTAGCCAGGCCCCACCTCCTGCCTTTCACTACCTCCCAACAATGTCAGAAGATCATTAATCCATCAAGGGATTAATTCACCCATCTAGCCAGCGCCCCGATGACCCATCATAGTCAAATGTCTCTGGAATGTCCTGACAGACACACAAAGTACTGGTCACTTAGTGATTCTAATCTGGTCAAGTAAAAGTTGAAGTTAACCATTGCAGTCCAGACAAGGTACCACAGACCTTCAAGCCCAGCACTCTGGATGCACAGGCAGGTGGATCTCTGTGAGTCTGATGCCAAGCCTGGTCTACATAATGAGTTCAAGGCTGGCTAGGGTTACATAGTGAGATCTTTAAAAAAAAAAAAAAAAAAAAAAAGCAAAACAGTAGCCATGACAATCTATCCCTTGTCAACTTTACAGACAGACAAACCACTTCAAACCATAACATCCCACTGCGACCCCCACAAGCTCACCTTTGTCTTACAATGCAGTGTGCAGTTTAACTTCCATGCCCTGTCTGGTGCTATGGAACACTGACTATTGAGACTCCTATGCAGGTGTCTTAGAGTTACTATTGCTGTGATAAAACACCATGATCAAAAGAAACTTGGGAGGAAAGGGTTTATTTCAGCTTATAGTTTATGGCCCATCACTAAGGGAAGTCAAGGCAGGTACTCAAAGCAAGAATCTATCTATGTATGTATGTATGTATGTATGTATGTATGTCTATCCTTTCTTTCCTCCCTCCCTCCCTTCTTCCCTTCCTTTTTTTCTTTCTTTCTTTCTTGTTTTTTTTTTTTTTTTTTTTTTTTTGAGAAAGGGTTCTCTGTTTAGCCCTAGCTGTCCTGAAACTCTGTAGACCAGGCTGACCTCGAACTCACAGAAATCCACCAGGCTCAGGTTGCTTTCTTAAACACCCCAGGATCACCTGCCCAGGGGTGGCACCACCCACAGTGGACTGGGCCCTCCTGCATCAGTCTTTAATAAGAAAATATACCACAGACTTGCCCACAGACCAATTGGATGGAGACATTTCCTCAACTAAGAGTCCTTCTTCCCAGATATTTCTAGGTTTGTGTCAAGTTGACAAAAGTCACCCAGCACAGTGAGCTTCAGGGTCCCTCATCCTGGCTGCAGGGAAACAGTTCTCACCCATGGTCACTACCCCAGCACAGCTGCTGGTGGGCCTAGAGAGTTGTAGGGTTAGTCCCGCCATGTTTTCTGGTGGGACTCGTTGACAGGGACCACTGCAGTCCATTCTGTCATGTTCTAACCCAAATCTCAGGAAAAAGAGGTTATGTTCAGCTACCTTTACTCTATTTTTTTTAAATATTACCCTTTGGTCTTTGGGGGCCCATCAACTAGCTCCCAAATAAATACAGAGACTTATTCTTTCTTACAAATGCCCAACCTTAGCTTGACTTATTTCTAGCCAGCTTTTAACTTAAGTTGTCCCTTCAACCTTTTGCCTCTGGGCTTTTGGCTTTTTCCGTGTATCTTTCTTTCTTTCTTACTCGGTTGCTGGGTGGCTGGCCCCTGGTGCCCTCCTCTCCTCCTTTTCTCACTCCTTCCTCCTCTTATTCCAATTATCCTCTCTGCCTGTCAGCCCCACCTATCCTTTTCTGCCTAGCTCTTGGCCATTTAGCTCTTTATTAGACCAATCAGGTGTTTTAGGCAGGCAAAGTAACACAGCTTCACAGAGTTAAACAAATACAACATAAAAGAATGCAGCATATATTAGCATCATTGAATAAATATTACACAGCATAAATGAATGTAACACATCTTAAAATAATATTCCACAATATTTTACCCCTTAGATGTTCCAAGATTGCTCACAAAAAACTGATCTACTTTCTCTAAGTCTCTACAAAGTCTTAGAGGTAGAAAGGCCTTTCCTAAACTCCAGCTTCTGGTGAAAGCAAGGTCTTTGACAGGGGTTTTGGTGTCTCATCCCATGATAGACCTGTGCTGATCGTGGCCTTGGGAAAGCTTATTTCATAGTGGGTTGCCGTCATCTAAAGGGCCTTCTGGAACAGCTGAGGCTTGGAATAAAGATGAGATGTGATATGAGACAGCTGGGTTGCAGCAAACGCTCTGTAGGGAAGGGATGTTTACCAGTGGCAGTTTGCCAGGCCACTCTAATGTCACCCCCACTCTTCCCCCAGTTTCGGAGGCCTCATCTTAAGCAAAACCATTTCTAAACATCAATTTAAAGGCATGGCTGTCCTTACTCCCGTCATATGTGGTGAGTGCTGGGTGTGACTCCTCTTGGGATCCCTGGGCTGGGTAGAGAATGAACAGCGCTCACAGCCTTAGCAAATGTCTCCGAATTCCAGGATGTGAACATGTTCTTGGTCTTCTGGGTGCTGGTGGCCTCCTGGGTCCTGTTGATGTTCTGTACCCCATTCCCAATCTTCTTGAGTCTCCCTGAAGATACCTCCACATCTCTGGGCATTGTTTTCTGCACTATTGAAGGCCCCACCCACCCCTCTACCCCTCCACCCCTCCACCCACCCTCCTCCATCACCCACAGGATAATCCAGGGGTTTTTGTTGTTATTGTTTTTTTGGCTTTGCCTGTTCAACTTCACTAGCCTTAGAGATTGGCTGTCAGGATCTGAGCCACCCTCTCTGGGTGCCCAGGAAAGCTGAGTGGGAAGGAGAGAGGAGATAAGAAATGCATGTCACTCTAGGACACCATCTTGAAGAAAGCAGTATATGGTAAGAAGCCAAAGGTTGGAGCATGCTGCACCCTCTTTCTTCCCAGGTGTTGGTGGCAACCTGGTGGCCATTCAGACCAGCCGCATCTCCACCTTCTTGCACATGTGGAGCACACCTGGGATCCTCCCTGTCCAGATGAAAAGATTCTGGCCTAACCCATGCTTCACTTTCTGTTCCTCAGGTCAGTACGCTGTCTGCTGGGGCCATGTGGCCTTATTTATTCCCCAACCCCTTGTTTTTGGTTTGGTTTTGTGGGATTTTTGTTGTTATTGTTGTTTGTTTTATGTTTGCAATGGGAGGCCTCTCTCACTCTGATGTCCAGGCTGGCCTTGAATGCCTGGGCTCAGATGATGAATCTCTGACCTCAACCTCACATTTAGTGGTGACCATGTGCACATGCTCCCTTGTTTTTCTAACACCATCCACAGGGTGGTAAACCTTTTTCTGTGTTGTTTATGCATCACACATTTGACTTAATTCTTATTGCTTACTCATGGTTTTCCTACAAATATTCTTGAGTATTCAGTCTAGCTGCCCCGACAAACTGCACATTCTGGGGTATTCCCCTACTTCCCAGCTTCTTACTCTTTGGACTTTCTTTGCATGCTGTTAAAAAAGGAGAGTTGGGCCTGAGGACATTACTGGGTCAGGAAAAAAAATGTTTGCTGTACAAGTGTGAGGACCAGACTGGTCTACAGAGCAAGTTCCAGGGAAGCCAGGGCTACACAGATAAATCCTATCTATAAAACAACAACAACAAAATAGTAACAACAACAAAGAGCTGGCATGGTGGTGCCCAGTGCTGGGAAGCAGAGCTAGGTGAAATCCCGAGTCAGCAAGCCTCACTGAATGGGTGAGCTTCAGGCCAATCAATAAGAGACACTATCTAAGAAATAAAGCAGATATCTCCTGAGGAGAATACACACATACATGTGGTGCACGCGCGCGCGCACACACACACACACACACACACACACAGAATTGGTTGGGAATGTAACTCAATTGACTCTCCAGTTCTCAGCACTATGTAAAAGTGGGTGTGGTAGGGCACACCTGTATTCCCATCACTCAGGAGGTGGAAGCAGGAGAATCAGGAATTCAAGGCCATCCTGGGCTGCATGATACCCTTTCCATCTTTGTCCCCCAAAAGTGGTTTCTCTGAAGCTTGAAATGGAAACCTAGGGCCTTGAGCACACTCAGAAAAATCACCCAAACAAAATTGTTTCCATTCGTTGACTGTTTTAGTTCATTTGTTCTTGGAGTTTCTGAGTTTGACATGTGACTTCCCTGCCTTTTCCTGACAGTCTCAGAGGAACAGAGATGACTTCTACTGTACGATTGTATTTGAGAAGGTGTCACGTTTATTTGCTGTATTGTCCACATGTTGTTGTTGGATCTGGGTGGGGAGACACCCAGGGAGTCCTGGGAGTATGTCACCCTCCCCAGTTGCCCCAGACTCTCTTAGGCCCCTGGCACAGTCCATCTTCCCCTCCAATGTCAGACCTCAGCCTGTGCCCCACCCCCACAGTGGCCTTTAGAACCCCTGGGAGCCATCCCCACATGTGCACGCTTCCTAGTCTGAGCTTTTTTTTTTTTTTTTTTTAAATATTTCTTGCCATGTGAAATGAAATGACCTTCCTTTTGTTCTCGTGTGTTCCCTCAAATGCCAGCCCCTTGAAGGGAAGGTCAGGACTGAGTTCCCACTTAACAGAGTGTGCCATGTCATAGGTGTTTACAGGTGAAGGAGCTTGGGGCCCTCACTGGGGACTCTTCCTTTGCCAAGATGGCCTCTGCAAGCAGGTAGATTTGTGACCCTCTTGATTCCATCCCTTCTAGAAATCAACTCCATGTCAGCTCGAGTCCTGCTGTTTCTGGTGGTCCCAGGACATCTGATTTTCTTCTACCTCATCTGCCTGGTGGAAGGCCAGTCAGTGACAAGCAGCAAGATCTTCCTGGTGCTGTATCTGGTGGCAGGCATGGTCCAGGTGAGCGTGAAAAGGGCAGAGACACACAGCCTTCGTGGCTTCTCAGCCAACATTAGTGACTCTTGTCCTGTGGGATGTTCTGAGTAGAGTTCCCGTCATACAGAGATTCAGCCCACTTGCTCAAGCCCAGTGGCATGGACTAGACACGGCGGGCACTGTGCTGTGTGCCGCACACTTCACACCAGTCTCCACTGCACAGTACTGAATAATGCAGGCCACACTTCACACCCAACACTTCACTCACTTTGCATTGTACTCCACATGCCACACCCATCAATCAGCATGCTGGAAGAGCAGCTGTAGATGTGTTGTGTTCTGTGGATGAGGCTGAGCCAGCTGTCCATTCCCCTGCTTCACATGGGGCTGAAGGGTGCACATAGTTCTTTCCAGGTGAGATGGCATGTGGTCGATGTGAAAGAGATTAAAGCTGCTGCTGCTTTGGGGGTAGGGGTTGAGCACTGCTGAGATGCCAGCTGGCTAATGTCCCTGGTGGCCTAGAGTGTCAGCAGAGAGGACTGTGGGCACTATGGCAGTTTCAGGAGGGTACGCTGGAATGTTTCCTCATCTCTAGACTTGGGCAAGTCCAAGGCTTTACTTAGGGGGAAGGAACAGAAACAGGGCAGGGACTGACTGATAAAGACTGCAGGGACTATGTGACCTGAGTAGGATCATGTGGACTACTCCTTGGAAGCTTCTAGAAGGGGTCACCAAACCTCCCAAGAGGAAGGGTTTAAGCAGAGAGGGTCCTGACTGGTGAGTGGCAGCTGGTCCCTGGGGCAGAGCAGGACCCAACCACTAGGAAGGGCATATGGACAAGAGGCTGATTTGTTCACACTTAAAGTTGCTGAGGGGTCCAACCAGCATGTGACAGTCATAAAAAAGTGAATAGGGAGCCAGCTGTGGGCTGAAGGGGCCTGTGTGTGTGAGGAAGCCAGCCAGCAGCAGGGGCCCAACCCTGTTCTTTAACAACCTGTTTTGAGAACTGATTCAGACCCAGGGGACCTGATCCACTCCCTCAAGAGATATCAATCTATTCATGACCTTACCATTTCTCACAAGGCCTCAGCTCAGAAAGGTCCCCCCACCTCAATGCCACCTCAGTGAGAATCAAGCTTCCAGCACATGTCCAAGACACTCAAGCCCCAAGCAAAGCTGGGAGAGGGAACTGTTTGGGGTTGACTTGCCTACCTTGGTGGTGTCCTTGGAAGCCAGCTGGTGCTCTTGGTTGCCCTCTGGCCTGTGACTTGTCTTTTGCATCTCTTTACTCTTCTGGCAGGTGATAATCCTGCTGTACCTGGCAGAAGTGATGGTTCGGCTGACCTGGCACCAGGCCCTGGATCCTGACAACCACTGTATCCCATACCTCACAGGCCTGGGGGACCTGCTGGGCACCAGCCTCCTGGCACTTTGCTTCCTCCTGGACTGGCTATTGAGGGGCAGAGCTGATTTTGAAGAGCTGGTTTCTGCACCTCCCTGACTGAGGCTGCCACCTGCAGGTCTCCGTGGGACTTTCCCTCGTGTCCAGTGTCCAGCAGACTGTTCCTCCTGCTGGGGCCTGACCTGCTAGATATCTGCCTGGGCACTGGCCTCATCAGTCTACCAACAAGATGAGCACACACCTTGATTCTGAAGTTGGTAGCTGAACCTGAGGCGGAGCCCTGACATCAAGAGCTCTGCTTGTGTGAGTTAGTATGTGTGCCTGGTATGTGTGTGTGTGTATGTATCTGGTGTGTGTGTGTGTGTATGTGTGTGTGTGTATGTATCTGATGTGTGTGTGTGTATGTATCTGGTGTGTGTGTGTGTGTGTGTGTGTGTGTGTGTGTGTGTGTAGGGCAGGCTGTTCCAACCTGAAGATGCCAAGGAAGAACCCTGTCAGTGCAGTCTGGATTGGATGGGGCAGGATGGAACTCATCTGTGTCCCCAGTTCTCGGGACTACCCTCGCCCTGACTGTGCTGCCATCACTGGACTCAGCTCTCTGGACCCACACTACTAGTGCCCTGGGCCGGGTGGCCATGCACCTTCTCCAGGCAGGCCCTGTGTACACCTCATCTATACCCAGTATTTAATCTTGTGGCTGCTTTCTTTTTATTCCCCACCTTGTTTTGTAGCAGAGCCCTCTACTTAGGTTCTGGTGATCAAGAGATGTATAATAAAGCTTAGCTGACCTTGCACTTGGTGCTCTGCGTCCTTCAAGGTGGTCAGGGAGGTCATGAGGCTCAGTCTCCAAGCAGTAGATGACATTTCTCTAGGGTAGGGTTTATCGTGGTATGAATTGCTGAGTGTACTTGTCACCTGGAAACTTGTGTGTATAGGTTCTGTTCCTCCTCTGCCTGCCCAGGCTGCTCCTTGTTGGTCAGCAGACCTCAGCTGGGGACTCACTGCCCACACTGTCCAGAATGTCATTTGTCATTTCCCCTTTTTGATTGGTGTGTGTGTGTGTTTCTGAGGTATACTGTGATACTTTGATTCATGTCATCTTTTTATGACTTATTATTTCATATATGTTGAATATTTGCCTGCATATGTACAATACCACAGAGCCCAAAAGAGGGTGTCAGACTCCCTGAAGCTAGAGGTAGTGAGTTACCATGCAGGTGCTGAGAACACGCTGGTGTCTTTTGCAAGAGCTGCAAGTGCTCTTAATCTCTAAGCCATCTCTCCAGGCCTCCTGTCGTCTTGTTTGTGAAGTATGTTTGCTCTGTTTCCTAGCACTTAAGTCATGCGTAGCTAAGGCATGTTTTCCCAGCACATGTTACCATGGAGTCCCAGGTGGACACGATGCACAGGCCTGGAGTATGAGCACCTCAGGGAATGGTGTGTATGCAGGAGCATGCCCTGAGGCTGAACATGGAGGAGGCATTTCCATCCGGCACTTACCTAACTTGGAGGACAGCAGGCCTTGGGATGGTGTGAAATGAGTCATGATCTCTAAACAGACACAGCTACTAATTGCTTACTGGACGAAGGTGTATGACCCCACAATGTGCCCTTTTCTAGCCCATCTCCCGTTGGCCAAGGCCAGGTAGAAGTTCAGGGCCTGGGTAGCAGGTTGATGGCCTATGAGGTATCTCTTCTCATGGGCACAGAGCCAGGTGGGAGCGAGGATGGATTGATGGGGGGGCACTATCCAGCATAACTGTGGGCCAGGCCCAGGCTACCTGGGCAAAGCACTGATCTCTGTCCTGGGGCTCAGATGGAGATATATGGTCAATATCATGGAGCTTAGTATCACGGAGACATTGAACATTGGCTCTTAGCCTTGAAAGAAGCAGATGGAGCTATGGAATAATCTGGTAACAAGAGCTGAGTGCAGTCACAGACACATTAGGTTTCAGACTGAATTTTAAATCATAACTAGGCTCAAACATGTCTTTGTTTGGTGAGAGGGCAAGTGGGTGTGGTGGACAAGGCCAAACACTGGAACCTGGCTCGCTCAACTTTTGAGCCATTGGTTGTGTGACAGGCAGTCGACGTTGTGGAGAACCATACCCTTTCTGGAGACAGTGCCAGCCGCAGGTGGTGCTGTGTTTGGTGTGTTTCCTGGATTTACAGCATTTACAGTAATGGCTTCACCAGACTGAGAAGGCTGCAGCCAGGTCAGACTGTCAGCAGAACCCAAACAGCAACCACAGCTTCCCTTGGTGTGAATGAGACTTGGGAGGTCTCTTCTGGGTCTAACAGGTTTTCCAGACCAGTGGTTCAACATGGGGGTGACAACCCCTCTGGGGTTGCATAGCAGATATTCTGGGATATTTGCATTATGATTCATAACTAATACAATTAGAGTCACGAAGCAGTAAGGAAATGATTTTATGGTTGGGGATCACCGCAACATGAGAAGCTGTATAAGAGGGTCAAGCATTAGAGCTGCTGGTCTAGACTCCATTTTCACTACATGCCATGATCCAATTGAGGGATGGCCTTTTTGTTGTTGAAAGAACAAGAAAGTCAGTCCAAAACTATGATGAGTTTTAATGCCAGCAGCTCCTGAGGCACTCTCTTAGTGACCTTTCACATTTCCAGTTTGCCTCAAGTGCTGATTGACTCTTGAACAGTCTACACTGTACTCTGGTGACTTTTGCTCTAGCTGTAGGAGGATCTGCTTTGATGGTTGCTCTGCTTGGTCACCATCAGCTCCCAATGTGGCCCAATCTTTGCTTCTCATCTTCAAGGCTCGCTCCTGTCCCTGTAGAGCTTCTTGGCCACTGCACTCTGCCAAGGGCATTGGTGGTGTAAATTGATCCTGTCCTTATGACTCGCTTTAAATTTAAATAAGAAAGCTGCACAAATTTGCTTTGTGTCTGACATTATCTCCATACCTAAAATAAATGTAAACTAAATTGTGTTAATTACTTTTAAATTGTGGTGATAAGATACTATGACCAAGGCAACTTAAGAGTTTGCTTGAAGCTTACAGTTTTAGTGGGTGAAGGTCCATGACCACCATGGCAGCAGGCAGGCATGCATGGTGCTGGAGCAGTACCAGAAGCAAGAGAAGGAGAGAAGTAATTGGGAATAGCACGGGCCCACCCCCAATGACACACCTCCTCCAACAAGGTCACACCTCCTAGTCTTTCCCAAACAGTTTCACCAACTGGCGACCAAGTGTTCAAATATATGAATCTATGGAAGCCATTCTCATTCCAACCACCATTTGCTAATTAATTAAGCCATTTGTAGTGGGATATTCACTTTGTCTCCTTCTGTGGCACTTACCACACACATTGGGGGGTGGAGCCAGGGGCGGAAGTGACCTGGGGAACTAAGTCGGAGGAGGCATGGGAGAGCGCTCTCTTGCAAGCCACACGGGAACAGGAGGACTTCTGGAGGAATTCTTGGAAGCAGGAACTTGTTGGTGTTCACCTGTCTATGTTGTGAGTTATTTCTCCTTGAATAAACATCTGTTCGACCTAATTGTTTACCCTGATCCTTATTAAACCACATTATCTGGTGTCAGAAATGGGATCTGGATTTTCTCCAGACCTGGTTTTCATCCAGGCTGCCAAAGCCGCTCGCTTCCCCCATCATCCCCAAACCGACAGGGTCCCTGGTCTAATTAGGTGGACTCACCACAGCTTTGGGACATTTGCCTCTGCCCTACAACTCCTTTGCCTCTGCAGCCACCCTGAGAAGGCACTCACTGCTTCTCATTTTTGCCCATTTCCCCACTTTGCACTCACGCAGAGCCACATGGCGCCTGTCCTGCTTGTGCGTTTCCCACGGTTAGCCCTATGGTCCCAGCAGTTCCACAAGGCTCCTTTTACTCATTTGTCTAACAAAATTTCACTTGCCATAGTTTGTTAAGAGCTATTCTACAGGGACCAAGATCAGAAGGATCCTCTGCTGCCAGATGCTATTTGGTAGGACACCTCCAGGCACTACCACAACTAAAACCATCAAAGTTCCAGGACAGCAGAATTACACCTAAGGTAATTGCAGCATTCTTCGCAATTTAAGTTGATATAATATCTGAGATAAATTGTCCCATAACTATGGCAGATAATCTTACAATGCAGGACTTTAGGAATTCTTTTAATTCTTGTGTAGAAGGAATATTAACAGAAGAAAATCATGACTTAACCAATATATACATTTTTTTTTGGTAATAGCAATGGGTTTCATCATTATTATGATATTTTTAAAGAAATGGTTTGAGATTAGAGCAGATAATAAGAAACTTGTACAAACCATAAGAGAGTAATAAGGATTCAAAATATGGAAAATGACAATGGAGAGTTTAAAATTAGAATGCAAACTGAAAATGACAATGGACAGCTGAAAATTAGAACACAAAACATAGAATCCTTAGGAAAAAAGGTTCAGAATATTGAAAAGGATGATGGAGAGCTGAAGATTAGACCTCAAACAGAATCCTTAGAAAAAAAGGTTCAGAATATTGAAAATGACAATGGGGAGCTTAAAATTAGAATGAAAAACATAAAAAGCTTAGAGGAAAAGGTTCAGAATATTGAAGATAGCAATAGAGAGCTGACAGGTAGAATGCAAGACATGGAACATAAAAATGACCAACTAGAAAAACAGAATTTGTTCCATATCTAATGCCTCAATAACCAAAATGGAAACAATGCAAGGCATTAACATGCTAGCAGAAACAGCTCATTCCTGGTTGGATGAATCTACTAATAAGGTTAAAAAACTGGAACATCAGATGGAAAGACTAGCGGACAGAATCTGTTCCATGTCTGAGGATAATGGCAAGCTATCGGATAGAAAATTGTTTCTGGAAGGCAGTTTACATGTCATTCAGATAATATCTAAAGATGAGAATGTTAAAAATATGGAATCATTTATAGTTGGAGAAATTAAGAGACTGACTGATTCAATGAAGTCTCTAGAAAGTTATATGGTACAAGAAGTTCAGACACTCAAAGATACAATGGCCTTGGAAGATCTTCAATCTGATACATCAGAAGAGGAACTACAGAGAACAGGGCATGAAAGAGACTTAAATTTTTCTACACCATTTAGGGTTAGGGGAGTTTTCCCTGTATCTATTAGTGAAAAATCAGCAACAAAAAAA